GTCGCTGTTGTTGGAGAACGTAAAGTAACCGATTTCGTCGATAGATGTAAACAAATTTTCGAGATATTGATACTTTGGCTGTTGCAACAATTTCGAGTAGACGTACACGATCTCGAAACGTACGCCGTTCGGACTCTCGAGTAAGCTTACGAGAACGTTGGTTTTACCGCAATTCGACGGGCCGCAAATGATCACGCGTATAGTACTCGGCAACATTTTGCCGTGCTTGCGCTTCTCCATGCTTCCCATTATTCGCGATTTCGCGTCGCAGTTCGTGACGCGTATCGCCAATGGTTGCAGCACGAATTTCATGCTCGCACTACGGGCTGTGCGCTCTCGACTACCTATTTAAAGGCGCGCGAATCCGCGAGTCGCGCAGTAATAAAATGTATCTTGCGCTGTATCATCCTTCCGACATTCTGGATTTGAGCGCAGAGCAGTTGCGGTATATACCGAAGGTCATACTGTTACGAGTGTACGGTGACTATATCGACCGTGTGTGGGACAAGTTTCCGAGACACGTGAAGGGGGATTCGGAGGTTCGAACGTATCGTCGCTGCGACGAGCACTACAATCAGCCGTGGCAGCGGACACACATCGACGGTCCAGCACCGAAGATAAAGGACTGTAGCGAATGTCAACGTCGGGCGGCAGCTTGTTGAATAGAGCTATAAACGCGCTTCCCTTCGAGTTACATATCCCGGGCTACCAGTTTTGCGGTCCGGGCACTCGACTTACGAAGCAATTAGCCAGAGGTGATACGGGTATAAATCCGCTGGACGCGGCGTGTCGAGAAAACGACATTGCGTATTCTCGGAGCAACGATCTCACCGATAGACACGCGGCGGACAAGGTACTAGCCGATAAAGCGCTAGGACGCGTCACCGCGAAAGATTCGGCTCTGAGCGAGAGAGCCGCCGCTGCTGCCGTTTGGGTAGCGATGAAAACCAAGACCAAGATCGGCATGGGTATGAAACCGAAGAAGACAACGAAAAAGACAACGAAAAAACGGATACTACCGACAGCGAAACGAGGCGTTGCGTTACCGTTTCTGTCAATATTGGGCGCGCTCGGATCCTTGATTGGCGGAGCGGCCAGCGTGGCGAAAGCGATAAATGATAGCAAAGCCGCGCGACGTCAGCTCGAGGAGCTGCAACGTCACGATCGCGCGATGGAACAGGGTCGCGGACTGTATCTCGCTCCGCATAAATATGGACGCGGACAGGGCGTAGCAGTGAAGAAAAAAAAACGCCAAAGAGGCGATAAAAATGCCTTCGGATGCAACTACCAATGTGCAATTGGACATGCTCGCGAGAGGTATGCGCGTACCGTTCTTTAGAGGTGTTTTCATGCGTAACGCGTTATCGACGAGTGGCGTGCGTCGAAACGAAAGCGGTATCGTGAATCTGGATGATGCGACGGGACCTGGTACTCACTGGGTAGCGTACGCGAAGAGAAACAACCGCGTCGTGTACTTCGACAGCTTTGGTAATCTTCGACCGCCCAAGGAACTGGTGCGATATTTCGGGAACGGTGCTACGACGATAGAGTACAATCGCACGTCCTATCAGACGTACGATCAGAGCTTCTGCGGACAGATGTGTCTATGGTTTCTACGAACGGTCGACGCTCGTGAATTTAAAAAGCTCGACGAGGTGCTGTGAAATCTCAGTATTGGTCGAACGCTTTTTCCATCATGTTGTTGACACTTACATTGAGTGGGAAGAGCAGCGTCCTCGCGGCGAACTACTTCCCCGCCATAGATTTGAGTGACGGTGATTACGAGCTCGGCCTGATGATTTTTGAGACTTATCACATGATACCGAATGTAAACGAATCGAACAATAAATTTTATTTCGACAAAGACGATGCAGAAATTACAATTCCCGAAGGTTCGTACGAAGTACGAGACATAAATGAATTTTTGAAACGTGCAATTTTACGTTCGCGCCGCGACGCGCTTGAAACCGTTGACATAGTGCTTTTGCGCGGTGACAATAGCAACAATAACAACTATAACACCGATGATGACGATGGCGAGGATGCCGAATATCCGATAACAATCCGTGCAAACTATAACACGATGAGATGCGAGATTAGATGCGCCTACAGAATAAACTTTGGCAAGCCCAACAGCATTGGATCGCTGCTGGGATTCTCGTCGAAGCGTATACTGCGACCGCGAAGATGGCGTGTCGATCAACATAATGAACGTAAACGTTATCCGCGTAGAGTGTAACGTGACCGCGGGTGCGTACAGCAACAGCAAAGGGTACACACGATACATGAATTTTCGCCGAGCGTGCCTCCGGGATATAAGATATCAGAAAGGCCCGCGCAGATCATTTACTTGCCAATCACCGCAAGGAGCATTACGGATCTAACGATACGCGTCGTCGACCAGAACGGACGATTGCTCGATTTTCGCGGAGAGGAGATCACCGTCAGATTGCACGTGCGACAGCGACGACGATAACGTGAGCGTGAGATGCTTATATTGAACGGAGCGGAGCCCACGCAGAGAAATAACGAATTCTTTACAAGGCCGGTGACGTCACAACTCGACAACACTCGCTCATTCGACTGCATCGGCAAGAAGAAGCTTAACGCGTCGAACGTTAAATTTTTACAATCTTTGGGATTCGCAGTGCGCAACTTTTGAGATGATTGATATCTTGAATATTACCGGTGAGCCGATCTTTGACGATCGCATCGTAAAGTTTGAGACTCACACGTACAACCCGTTTGCCAACACAACGTTTGGGTACAGTGATGAGATAAGAATACCCATACAGCAACAGGATTTATACACGTTGCCGTGCGAAAGTTTTCTATATGTTGAGGGAAGACCGATGAGGAAGAGCGATGTCCAGGGTGCTGCCGCGGTATTGGCAAATATTTGCGTCGCGTTCATGTTTGATGCAATTCGATACGAACTCAGCGGTATGGAGATTGACCGCAACAGAAACGTCGGAGTTACCAGTACCATCAAGAACTACGTGTCGCTGACGTATGACAAATTTTTGATTGCGCTAAACGCCGCATGGAACGCTAGATCCGACACAGAGGAAGGACATTTTAATTTTTGCGTGCCGCTCAGCATGCTGTTGGGCTTTTGCGAAGATTACAAACGCTTGATTGTCAACGCTCGCCACGAATTGATTTTGATAAGATCGCGCAACGATAACAATTGTATGATTGGAGATCAGGCGATAGACCCGACGCTTGAATTATTCAAAGTGCAGTGGCGGATGCCGCACGTGTTATTCAGCGAGATAAATAAATTATCGATGCTACGAGCATTGGAAAGCGGTCGTTATCTGAGCATGAGTTTTCACTCATGGGATTTGTACGAGTATCCTCTGTTACAAAATACGACCAAACATTCATGGGCCATCAAAACGGCTACTCAACTCGAAAAGCCGCGATACGTCATCTTTGCTCTGCAGACTGGTCGAAAGAACAACGTACTTCAAGATGCAAGCGTGTTCGACGCTTGTAATTTAAGTAACGTGAAACTCTATCTAAATTCAGATTTTTATCCGTACGATGATTTGAATTTGGATTTTGATAAAAAAAGATACGCCATCCTGTTTGATATGTATGCGCGTTTTCGTAAAGCATATTATGGAATCGACTGCTTCGAAACGCTACTCAATGTGCTCTCATTTACCGAGAAAGGACCTTTTGCGGTCATTGACTGCTCGCGACAAAACGAATCCGTCAAAAGCGCCACCGTGGACGTGCGCATAGAATTTGACTGCAAGGAGAACGTGCCTGCAAATACTACAGCCTATTGTCTCATCATACACGATCGCGTGGTTCAGTACAATCCGTTGACCAACGTTGTGCGCAAAATCACCTAAGTGCATTCTCCGACACGATATAAAATATACGATTCATAGAAATTGATCGCAGTCTCGAAAAATCGTTTACCATGATTGTAACAACGTTTGTGGATCTACAAGGATTTATCGTTGGAAAGAAATTTATCGTAAAGGAAGTGGCGGTGTTGAGAAAAGGAGCCATTCTCTCTCATTACATTTTTACATGCCCCATGCCATGGAGTTTCTTGACAAAATCAGAACAGTATTCCTGGCTGAGTGCTTATCACCATGGATTACAATGGGAAGACGGGATGATCCTGTACAGCATGGTGAAACGCCTGATTACAATGGCTGTAATTGGTGTGGAAGAGAGTGACGACAATAATGCTCTCGTATACGTTAAAGGACATGAAAAACGTGAATGGCTGGCCGATGTACTCGATAGCGACAACTTGACCATTGAGACCTTGGATGCTGATTACAAAGATATAGATTCTTTACATAATCTAGATGTTACCAATACTATGAGATGTGGAAAACATGTTAAGAATTGTGCGTTACAAAATGTATTTAAAATACATAACTGGTGCTCACACGTCAAAAAAAAATGTATCAAGTTTAAAATAAAATATGAGATTTTTTAAAAATACGTTTTAAATTTCTCTTTTCCCCTCCCTTCCTTTATAATACATGAGCGTATGTATAAATGTATGTATAAATGTACGTATAAACGTTTATACGTATATACTTGTATACATACGTCTAAACGTATGTATACAAGTATATACGTATAAACGTATGTACGTATAAACGTATGTATGTATGTATGAACGTATATATAAACATATGTATGAACGTATGTATAAACATATGTATGAACGTATGTATAAACATATATACGTCTAAACGTGTGTATAAAGGTATGTACGTATAAACGTATACATGAACATACGTATAAACGTATGTATAAATGTATGTATAAACGTATGTATGAACGTACGTATGTATGTATGTATGTATGTATGTATAAACGTATGAACGTATGTATGAACGTATATATAAACGTATGTATAAACTTATAACAAAGAAAAATACGTAGAAAGACGTGATACAACGTGTTGCGACACGTTTGAAATTCTTGGAAAGAGGAGGCGACCTGCCCCTTCTTCGATTTTAGAAGTATTACTTTCCTACGAAAACTATCCCCTCCCTCACAATTTGTTGTGGTTATAGCTGTACACATCTTTCGTTT